GCGGGGCTCGAACTCACGGACCGTGAGATCGTGACCTGGCTGAAGTCGGACACTTAACCGACTGTGCCACCCAGGCGCCCCCCTAGCAACTTTACTGTCATTTTTTGAAAGCGGACATATTTATAGGCATTAAAAAACATCTTCCCTACTCAGTAATACTTTTGCAGCCCCCAGATTTGAGAACAAGAGTCCTGCCTGATTCCTCTTGGTGACAAATAGCACTGAAGACCCAACCCTGAACCCCAAGGCACACTAGAGCTATGACGGGTTCTGCAGCTGTGTGGCCTGGATTCGTTCTCACCTTCCTCCCTACGAGAACTCTGACAGCATTCAGGTGGCAGTGTTCTCGGCCAGACATACTGACCGTTGTGGATGCTTGCAGCTGAAGATGATCCAGGCTGGCCTGGTCTGGGCTACCATCATCTCTTGCTTGGATGATTTTAGTAGACTTCTGTTTCCTCCTTCCTCCCCAACCTCAATTTTGCTCATAATGTACAGACTAATTCACTCACAGTGTAGCCTGGGTCATATCAGTCTTCTCCCAAGATTCTCCCACGGCCTCTATCCAACAAAGGGAAAGCAACACTCCTACAGTGGCCTCCGAAACCCCTCACCATCTCTCCCACCTACTTGCCCTTCATTTTCCTTCTTGCTCACCCGTGTCCAGAACAGCTGGTTCTCTTACCGCTGGTCTGGGACAGCTAAGCACATTGGGGCCACAGGATTTTGTCCTTGCCACCCCTCTGGAGGGAAATGCTGAAATGCTCTTCTCCCAGGGTTTCCACACAGACCACCCTCCCTAAAAAGGCCCTCTCGGGGCGCCTGGGTGGCTCAGTCGGTTAAGCGGCTGACTTCGGCTCAGGTCACGATCTCACACTCCGTGAGTTCGAGCCCCGCGTCGGGCTCTGTGCTGACCGCTCAGAGCCTGGAGCCTGTTTCAGATTCCGTGTCTCCCTCTCTCTCTGACCCTCCCCCGTTCATGCTCTGTCTCTTTCTGTCTCAAAAATAAATAAACATTAAAAAAAAAAAAAATTTAAAAAAAAAAAAAGGCCCTCTCCCTTCTTCATCCTCTCCTTCTCCTAAGCCTGCTCTGCTTTCCTTAAAAAAACGCATCGCCGTTTGTTCATTGCTACTCCCCGCCAGGTAGGTGCTGAGCCTCGAGGTGAAAAGGGCACACCTGCCTTGTTCCCTGCCCTGTCCTCAACTCTGAGGACAAATAACACTCAATTCAGAGTAGGTCTACCATAAATATTGTGGAATGATGGGGCGCCTGGGTGGCCCCGTCTGTTGGGTGTTTGACTCTCGGTTTTGGCTTAGGTCATGATCTCACGGTTCGCGGGATCAAGCCCTGCGTCGGGCTCTGTGCTCACGGCACAGAGCCTGCTTGGGATTCTCTCTCTCCTCCTCTCTCTCTGCTCCTCCCCCACTCCCGCTCTCTCTCTCTCAAAATAAATAAACATTTAAAAAATATTTGTTGAATGAACGACTACATTAAACAGATGGATAAAGATGTGGCTCTCCAGGTTGTGATGTGTCAGGCATGCTTTGAACATGGAGCAACACTCTCAGAATGGAATCCAGGTCCTACTCTTCTGCCAAGACTCTGCAATGGCCTCTCCATTCCTACAAAGTAAGAACGAACTTCCGTACAGACACCTCCAAAGCCCTGCGTGATCTGAATATTAAAAGCATGCCTTAAACATGAAAAGGAATTAAAGTCTACTTCTAATTTCCGTCAAGTATCCACTTCATTGTTCTTCAGCAAAACAGCAGCGTGTGCGGAAAACCTTTCCGAGTCCTGTGGGATTCACACTCCTGAGGCACAGTTGTCCCACATTGCATAAGCTTGGTGCCAGCTGACTCGCTCCAGGCCTCACAGCCTGTCCTCACGGCATGCTGGGTCTGGTGTATCTCTCAGGGTAGACCACCCCCGTGTGACGGTCTTGTGAGCTCTGGTGCCTTCGAGGAGAACTGCTGATGTGAATGACCCATAGGCAGTGCTCGTCCTTCTGTGTTACTGCCTTGGACTCCTTGTATAAAGGTCCAGAGGGCACAGCATGACAGGTGGTGCAAGTGAGAATGACATCAACTTGGTATTTCTTTCTTTCTTGCATTTTGTCCCACAGCTAACTGGAGCAAGCTGTTATTCTGGCTTAGTATTAGAAACAGCATCTGACTCTTGACTTTGGCTCAGGTCACGATCTCGTGGTTCGTGGGTTCAAGCCCCTCATTGGGCTCTGCCCTGACAGTGCAGAGCCTGCTTGGGATTCTCTCTCTTCCCTCTCTCTGTCTCTGCCCCTTCCATGCACACACACTCTCTCTCTCTCAAATAAATAAATAAACTTGGAAAAAAAGAAAGAAAGGAAAAGCTGCCCAACAAAGAGTTCTAATGGAATAGGAGATTTTAGCAGACAGTGAGTTCCCCATCTAAGCAGGTATTCCAGCACAAGCTGAAGCATGGGTTTTACCAGAGTTTCTGGCAGGTATACCAAGAGCAGGCCGCATGGACGCTCAGTTTCCCATCCTGAGCACCGGTCCCACTGCTGAACTCCCTCCTTCTGTGCCCCATTGGCTAAGTTAACTGGCAGTCCTGTCCCTCGAGAAAACCCCGAAAATCCAAGGGCCTGCCCGATTACCAGGAGCATACTCATAACCGAGAGACACCCTCATGACTTCTGCAGGCTCATTTGCAGACAGCGGCAGTGCTGAGGGGAGGGAAAAGCTAGAACCTCGTACCTCCCAATCATACCACACGGACGCCTTAGAGGTCCGGCTGTCCTCCAAACCAATAAAATGAGGTTGATCTTCCCATCGGTTCTCGAGAATGCCTCCCTCCCCGTGGCTCAGTCTAGAGGATTGATATTTAAAAGTTAGTTTTGGCATCTGCTGGTATACATTCCTTCCAGATGTTACCCAAAGGTCCCAGGCCAGTTGAACTGACGTGCAAGGCTCAAGAAAGTCCTACGACTTTGAATAGAGTCGCAATTGGCAGTGAGGCTACACTGTGCCTTGAACAGGGTTTTATTTGCTGAAAGCAGCAAAGGCAGTTTTAGCCTGTCCTCAACTCTCTACTGGCCAAAAATATTATTTACATTTAAAGAAAAATAATCAACTGCTTTTTTTGGTGCTCACACTAATTTTCCCTCTGTTTAGACTGGGGTCAGTGCAGCTCTGTTTTCAGCTAACCTCGGCATCCCCAGCCTTCTGGTCTCATCTCTAATTAAAGAGATAGGACCAATGGCATTTTCAATTTCTTTAAAAGTGTTCAATAAACAAGCATACATTTCAACATGCAGCATTCTATTTATTCTAACTCCATTCCTCCCTTCATATTCTATGTCTTTAAGGGACTTATCTCCACCACCACCACCCCCCCCACACACACACACACACAAGCTTTCACATCTGACATTCATCCCAATTGGATGGGATGGGGATCCTGAGTTGAAAAACAGTGTCTCTTTTAGCTCGTCCAAATTCCTACAGAAATGAACAAAGTGGAACCTGGGAGTTCTTGGCTGGAAGGAATTTGTTGATGGAGATTAAGACCTAATGTTCTTCTTTCAGTTTTCAAATGTAGATCAAGAAACCGTCTGATTCTGGAAACTACCCTGTAGGAAAGATGGAAGAAATAATTTCTTTGTCACAGGGTCTGGGATGTCATATTTTAAACATGCACAAGGATCTGTGCTTGCAAAGGATTTTTGTTTTAACATATTTTTGGAGCCATAAATGAGCTCAGTTACGTAAGTCTATTGGTACTTGCCTTCTTTCTTGTGCTGAAAACCTGATTTTGGAGATTGAGGGTGGGGAAATAAGAAATTTTCAAATTGTGTGTGTATATATATATATATATATATATATATATATATTCAAATTGTATATATACACACATATTTCAATCCCTCACCTATTCATTTTGTGGCAGATTGGATTTCTGAAGACAGGTACAACAATATCATCTGTCCTACATGCTCCTTTACAATGTGACTTTGCCACCTTCACACGGACAGGTGTCTTCTCCTCTTGAATTTGGTGGGCTTATAAAAAAAAACAAAACAGAAAGGAAAACAAAAAGACAATGCAGCTTCCTCCTCCACTGGAATGCTAGTACTGGAGACCAGAGCTGCTGTGTAAAAAGTCTGACTGTCCTGAAGCTGCCATCTTGTGGGGAAGCCCAGGGGACATGGAGAGACCACATGTAGGAACTGAGTGAAGGGGTCATCAGATGATGCCAGCCTTTTGCCATCAAGTCACACCCACTTTTTCCAGGCTTCCCAGCAGAGGTCACAAACCTCACAAAGGAGAGATAAACCATCCTACTGCATTGTGACAGAATTCCAGACCCACAGCATCCATGGGCATAATACAATGGTGGTTTCACACTACCACGTTAAAATTTTATTTTAACATTTATGTATTATTGCGATACAGAGAGAGACACAGCATGGGCAGGGGAGGGGAGGAGAGACAGAGGGAGACACAGAAGCCAAAGCAGGCTCCAGGCTCTGAGCTGTCAGCACAGAGCCCAACGCAAGGCTTGAACTCACAAACTGCGAGATCATGACCTGAGCCAAAGTCAGACACTTAACCAACTGAGCCACCCAGGTGCCCTTATGCTACCACACTTGTGGTGGTTTGTTACCTAGAAAGATGACCAGAACACCTTGCTTAACTTAGACAAGTAACATGCCATGACTACCATGCTGGACACTGTGGCCACGGAGGCTTTGGCACAAACCCTGTCAATCTAGGGCATTGACCAGGCATGTGGATAGATGTGGACGAGCAACCCTAGAGGTGGAACCCAGTAGAACCCAGTGAGAACATGGGGCTGGGGGTCGGGGGTGGGGTCGGGGGAGCAGGTAGGAGTCCATCTGTTGGCAAGAATCCCAGAGGGTATCTGAGAAAGATGACATTGGATTGGCTTTGAGTAGGATTTGGTCAGCAGATGAAAATGAAACAGCTCTGGGTAGAGAGCACAGCCTACTCATGGGTGCCAAATCATGGAAGACTTGGGATGGAGAGGGAACTGACTTTTCTCTGGGCTCGAGCTCCGTGTACATGAGGAGAGGGGAGTACAGCAGGATGCAACAGCATCAGACACGGCTGGGTCACAAAAGGCCAGGGTACTAGGCCAAGGAGGTGACATGTGGCAGTGAGGCACTGCAGAAGATGAGGAGATAGAGAAGAGTGTGGCCTGCATTTCTCCATGGAAGCCTGTGTGTTGGGGAATAGAGCCCATGACCCAGTCCATTTTCCGACTCGTTATGGCCCTGACATGCCAGGAACTTCTGGGCAGGCTCTTGGGAAGAATCCTGCATCCTGGATTCTCCAAAAGACCTTCTGGCTCCAGCCAATCAGGCTTCGGTGGGGGGGGGGGGGGGTTCCTATGGCAGGGGACATCATTTCCTCTTCAGCAAGGACGTGGACACTCTTCTCACATGGGCTTTTCCAACCATGTCACTTCCTCAAAGTAACACAGGGCTCGGGTCTGGCTGCTCCACTAGAGAGCCCATGACACTCCTGTCCCCAGGAGACGGCCGGGGCTCTGCTGCCTCCCACATCCTAAACAGCAAGCCTGGGCCAGTCTCAGGCAGAGGCCCCCGAGCAGCCTCTCTGATGAGCTGTCTGGCCTGGGGCCCTCCCTGCCTTGCAACAGAAGCCGGGGCCTCCTGCCGAGACCATGGCTGCACTGAAACAGATCTGTCTAGGGGCCGCTTTGCTTTGAAATCTAGTGCAACCGCAACAGCGAAAAGTACCATTTACCTGAATGGCTGATCCTTGCATCCATGTGAGAAATTCAGCATAATGGTTGATTTACATTTACGGAGGGACTATAAGTAAACCCACATTTATGAGCACCCCCTCTGCATTGGGTCCTGGGGTAAGATTCCCTCAGCTGCAAATCCTGGGCTGTAAGACCTGAACCTCAATGAAACTCAGTTTCCCAGAGGGGCTCAGTCTGTAGGGCCCAAGGCTGACTTGACAGACAGGCGCAGAAACGGTTCGGCGTGTACCCAGTACTGGACAGGGCAGAGCAAATAGTCACGGCTATTATTATGCCTTTACCCAAAGGCAACTCTGCGAAGCACTGTTATCTCTTCCTCATAGTTAGCCTGCAGAGGCTGAGGACTTTCCTGGGGCCACAGAGCTCTGAGTTCTTGGGCTGGACTCCAAACCCAGGTCTGCCCTCCAGGCTGGGCATCTGCCGGCAGCCACCACCTCTGGGCAAGCAGGCTCGTCTTTTGCTGGGGCTTCCGTGGCAGCCACTGGTGAGATCTTTCTCTTCTGCAGCTACAGCGGATGGCTAACCCGGCCCCTCGCCATGTCACGCTTCCCGGGTTAGGACTGAGGCCCCTTGCTAGAGGGTCACTTCCAGATGCAGAGAAGAGAATGGTGGTGGCCAGGCCTGGGAGGAGGGCTGTAGAGAGCGGTTGTTTTACGGGTGTGGAGTTTCGGTCTGGGATGCTTGGAGAGTTCTGGAGACGAATGGTGGGGATGGCTGCCCAATGACATGAATGCACTCGATGCCACTGAACAGTACACTTAAAAATGGCGACAAGTGGCCACCTGGTTGACTCAGTCAGTTAAGCGTCTGACTCTTGCTATTAGCTCAGGTCATGATCTCATGGTTCATGGGATCGAGTCCCACGTCAGGGACATCTGATGCTCTGCGCTGACAGCAAGGAGTCTGCTTGGGATTCTCTCTCTCCCTCTGTCTCTGCCCCTCCCCCACTTGCACCCAAACTCATGCTCTCTCTCTCTCTCTCCTCTCTCTGTCAAAATAAATAAATAAACAAATAAACATTAAAAATGGTAGACATGGTAAATTTTAAGTTACATCTATTTTACCACACACACACGAAAGATGCATCCCTCAACAGAAGAAGCCCAATCTCCTGAACTTGTCACATGAAACTTTTACAGAAGGTCATTTTGTCAGGCCCTGTCACCCCTACCAGCTTCGTCTGTGTCAGTCCGTCAGTCCTTCCAGTCTCTCCGTTACGCCCTGGAAGCCCAATCTCTTCAGCTTCCTTGTACGCACACACCACACTATTTCTCCATTGTTTTCTTATTTGGGCTGTTCCTCTGCCTGGGATTCTCCTTATTTCTGCCTTACCAAACTTCTGGAAGACTCTACCCAGGCAAGACCTTAGCAAGGAAGCCTTTCCCCACCAGGCCTCAGGGTCCTACCCACACTCGGCTTGGCCATGTTCGGGCCCACCTTGCTAAGGACTGTGGTGATCACGTCTCTCCCCACTAACGGGAAACTACCCCCTATGTCCTCCCTGTGACTCCAGCTCCTTGTACCAGGGGCTGGCCCCATGTCCACCAGGCTAAGCCAGGAAGCTACCGTCAAGGCAGCCAGCAGAGTGGCGGGCCTTGGGCTGTGACCTGTAGCCCTCCCCTGGGAGCAGAGGTCTCAGAGGGGACTGGTCAACTCTGGCAACGGTGGTCTCTCCCTTTGGGCAGTGACATCACATGGGGGCTGGTGGGCAGAGCTCCCGGGCAGGACTGGCAGCCCGGGCAAGGACTGGAGGTGAGAGGGTAGGAAGAAGGTGGGGAGGTGTGCGTGTCACTTCCCTGCAGGGGTCAGCAGCTTAGTGTGATCCGGCACCCTGCCCAGGCCGGTCTGAGCCCACCATGCTGCTGTCTACAGGGAGACGGGGGATCCAGAACCGAGCGGTGACCTCCTTGCCAAGTAGCTAACACAGAATCCTACCCCTAGCATCTCCCCACAGCGAGTGTCTTTGGGGATGCCCAGCAAAAGAGTGATCAAGAGCATGAATCATGGAGCCAGCCCTCCCAGGTTGGAATTCAGGCTCTGCTGCTCTCTGCATGACCTTGAGCAAGCGGCTTAACCTCTCTGCGCCTCAGTGTCCTCAACAGTACAATGGAGATCATAATAATAACAGCTACATCCTGGAACAGTTCAGTGCCAGACCCATGGACACCACTATGCAGATCTTCGCTGGTATAATTATGACTGTGCTCCTGGCGTCCCCCTGCCAGCTGGTGGGAGAGTTTTGAATTACCGTTTTGTAGATGACAGAGCCAAAGAAGCCAGGTGACTTGCCACCTTGGGGACAAAGCCAGGTCACTGCTGCCTCAGGATAGATAGCTCACCTGACTTTTCTGAGATGGAGACGCCGAGCTGGCTGCACAGAAAGGCCTGGAGCCTGGCTCCGGTGGGCGGCTTTCCTGCCCTGCGCACAGCAGCCGCCTCCTGTCGGGGGCAGGTCTGGAGGTCTAGGTCTGAGGAGCAGCGGGCCTGGGGTCGGGGCAGAGGGGGGGGGGGCGGGTAGGGCAACCGATGTCGCTCCCCACCCCCACCCCCCCCCCCACTGTGCAGGCTGGCCTGAGCCATGCTGGGGGAGGCGGGACCGCTTAGAGCCAGAAGATAAACATATTAACTGAACTTTCCATCTGTCATTTCAGAGAGTCATTTACTGCCTAGCTGTGGTTGGAAAAATTAAGTCCTTGTAATTTAGAGTCAACATTTCTCGCGGAATCATGTTAGACGAGCTGGCGGAGTTTGCAGCCTCCCAGCAGAGCCGCCTGCAATCAAAACAAGCTGGCTGCAGTGCGCTGCCTCAGCTACCCTGCCCGCGGCCCGGCAGGCCGGCCTGCGCTGGGCACCGGGTGCTGCAGGCCCCAGGGCGGGCGGGGGCTGCCTGGCTGTGGGCCACACGGGGAGGGCAGCGGGGACAGGCCTCGGCTTGGAGGGTGGAGCTCCAGCCCCCTGGGCCTTCCCCTCTCTGCCTATTGCAAAACAAATCTTCCCCCGTGCTGGGTGACCTGGGGCTGTCCTAACAAAACACCACAGACTGGGGACTTAAGCAGCAGATATTTATCGTCTCACAGTTCTGGAAGCTGGAAGTTCCAGACCAAGGTATGGACCCAGATGATTTCTTCTGAGGCCTCTCTCCTTGGTTTGTAGATGACCATCTTCTCCCTGTGTCTTCAAACTGTCTCCCCCGTGTGTGTGTGTGCATCTGCGTCCTAATCTCTTCTTACGCTGACATCAGTCGGATTGGATTAGGCCTACTCTAATGACCTCATTTTACCTAATCACCTCTTTAAAGGCCCTGTCTCCAAATATAGCCTCATTCTGAGGCCCAGGGCGTGAGGGCTGCAACGTGTGGATTTAGGGGTACATAACTGTGACCGTAACACCCTGTAAACTGTCCATTCCAGAGTGGTTCGCTTTCACCCTACCCAGGAGAAACTGGGTTTGTTGGTTCCATTTTGCAGAAGAGGAAAGAGGCTTCGGAAAGGCAGGTGGTTGCCCCGGCTCCCCCAGCCAGCTAAGGCACCTGGTGGGCCGGGGGGTGGGATTTCAGGTCCATGAGTTTTGCATCACAGCGTAGCTGTGTCCACCCCAAGGCCCCAGGCTGCTACGTGCCAGGCACCGCACAGACTCCTCAATCCCTGCAAAGGCTGCCCTGCAGGACGACAGGGGGGCTGCCTTTAGCTTAGGGTAGAACCATCCAGCAGTGAGTGAAATGAGGGCTCTGGGCATCCATCCCTGGGGAGAGCCATGCTGAAGGCCCTGCTTGGGTTGGGATGGAGTCTTCCATGATGGGCTCTTCCAATATATAGTCTCCTCTTGCTATACCCACAGATTTACCCACCTTGGAGGTCTTCCCCAGAGATTTTCCTGCCTAGATTTTCAGTCTAGTTTCACTAAGTAAACCTTTGGGGCCCACAAAATGCTAGATCATTTCGTTTTAAAATGATGGTTAAAATCACAGCAGGCTGCCCCAGAACCAGGGAGGCTCAACCCTAGACCTCACACAGTATAGTGGATGTTTTAGGACTAGTCCAACTCCTCAGTTTGAGACGGAGAAGCTGAGGCCCTAAGTATAGCCCCGATTTATCAGACCTAATCGGTGGCTCAGGCTCTGGCTTTGGCATAGCCGTGTTGTGTGGCCTATCGGTCACGGGGCCATTTTGACTTCCCTGACCCAGTCTGGCAAAGGCTATCAGAACTGTGTGGGTGAAGCAATAGGTGAAGAGGAGAGGCATTCTTTGTGGTCCACCTGGACCCCAAGCAGAGCTGAGCCAGCCACGGGCACAGATATGCAGTGGGACACCCAAAAGCAAAAGGTGTGGGGGGGTACTAACAATGCGTGACAGACTGGAAAGCTGCTTTCTCAAAGGGACCTCACTCCATCCTGCCTCTTCCCTCTATAGAGCCGGAAAGCGAGGCTCAGACTTGCCCAGAGCAACAGCCAGCTAAAGGGAAGAACTGGAACGCAAGACCCTTGACTCCAACCCAATACAGTCCCTGTGACTCAAAGCTATTCAAGTCCCCACATGGTTTCCCAGCTCCCAGGGAAGAGGGTGGGGGAACATTTCTGAGTGATGGCTGATGGAGACTTCTGCATAGAGACCAGAGAGTCTGTTTCCCAAGAGCAGGGTGTGGGGGAACTTCTCTGACACCCCTCATGCAGTCAACTGTCAACCAAGGCCCCACTTCCTCACCACCTCCCCCCACTGCCCTCCGCTTCCCCTGACTGGTGAGAAGAAAATATTAATGTGGCTGCCCCAGGGATCCAAGGACTGGTAGCTCTCTGTGCGTGGTGTTGCCCTGCTCTGTTGGTCCTGCCGTCCTCCAAGGCTGCCCTGGCCCCTCTCTGTGCTGTCACACAGAGAAGGAAGGGCAGTGCCTGTGAATTGGAGGCTCCCATTTTCTGCTCAGAGATGCAGAAGGCTCCTCTCTGACCATGAGAACAAAGAACTCTCCTAGCAAAATGTGGCTCTTTTTCATGTCCAAGACAGCTTCGAGTGCCCTGCTTAGAAGCTCCCCCTGGCTATGCACTGAATCTAATCATCATAGAAATGCAGACCCCCTGCTGTGGGAATTTGAAGATGTCCTTGTGATTACTGTCCCTGGGGTTCATGCCTTTTATAATGTCTTGCCTTTGAGTGGAGACAGGACCCACGAACATGATGCCATATTGGTCCAGGGAGTAGGTTACATTATATGGCAAGAAGGATTGTGCAGATATGATGAAGGTCCCTAATAGGCTGACTTTGATTGAATAACAGTGGAGATTGTCCTGGGTGAGTCTGAGTGTCTCAGGTGAGCTTTTAGGGAGTTGGGCAGCTGCAGCCCTTCTACTGGCTTGAAAGAAAGCAAATAGCCATACCCGTGGAAGGTACCATGGTGAGGAGCCATGAGGTCTCTAAGAGCTGTGAGTGGCCTCTGGTTCACAGCTCCCAAGGAAGTGGGGACCTCAGTGCCACAACCACAGGTCCTGAATTCTACTAACAACTTGAGTGAGCCCCAAACAAGAATGCTGATGGTTGACACCATGATTTCAGCCTGGTGAGCCCCTAGGCAGAGGACCCTCCCCTCAAACTGCACCCAGACTCTTGACCCCAGGAAACTGGGAGGTGTCTGTGTTATTTTAAGCCACTAAGGCTTGTGGTCATTTGTTATCCAGCAATCAAAACCCAATGTATCCTCTTGCAGGCTTCTACTGATAAATCTCTCAGCGCCTATGAAGTAAGGTTTGACCTAAGCTTGGCACCTCAGTGGTGCCTCAATATATCTCAGCTCAAGCATGTTTGATAGGAAACGACTCTTATGACAACTGTATGCTTACAGTTGAAGCACGATAATGGGACAGAGGTGGGAATAATGAGAGAGAGGCAGGAGGGGGACAGAGAAAGAAAGAGAGAAGGAGAGAGAGAGAGAGAGAGAGAAAGAGAAGAGAGAGAGAGAGAGAGAGAGACTCCTGTAGCTTTCCCAGACATAGCGCTTTTGCTACAACAAATGCTGTTGTCTTAGTCTTCTTTTACTTATTCACTCATTTTTAAACCTCTTTTCTAATAGTGCCAAGAAGGAAGCAAAACTCAGTGAATTAACCTTCACAACCTCTGATTAGAACTTTTTCTCTGGAGCATGGAGCATCCCTGCAGAATGAATTACTCTGGAGGGAGAGCCCGTCTGGGCACGGACCTTGCACAGCTCTGTGCTGGCCATGGCCTTGGGCTGTGTGCGTATGAAAACATTGCACATTCTGTAAAGTGCCCAAGGAGGAATAATTTTGGAGATGGTAAATATCTCCACTTTGCAGCTGAAAAACAAAAAACAAAAAACAAAAAACAAAAAACAAAAAAAAAAGGGAGGGGAGGGCAGTCATTTCTTGTGGTTTTTGGATCCAAATGTCTACTGTTGCCTTTCTCAGCTGGTGGTCAAAACAGGGAGGGTGATGCTGGACCATCAGCACCAAGAAATCTTCCCAAGAGATTTCCTGGTACCACTTGGGCTCCTGGAAGGCCCTTGTGGTGGCCAATGGTGCTGCCCTGAGACAGTTAGTTGGTTCTCTTCCTCTTTCCAGCACAGACGAGGTTGGCCTTCCCTCTGGAGGAGAGGGCCATCTGACTCGTTCACTAGCAAGCTGTGAGTGGGAGTGCGGTGCGTTGCTTCTGGGGTGGAGCATTTAATTGTGGGGGAGCAGCCCACAGTTCCTAGCCCTCTCCATCTGCACCCCAGGTGGTAGAGGCTGTCAGCCTGCATTCTGAGTGCGGACAGGAGCAGAGTCCCCCGTCGCCCTTCTGTGGACAGGTGACCTGAATGAGGAATCAAGCTGTGTTGTTTGAAGCCATGCAATTTAATGGTCGGTTGTCACTGGATCACAGCTTCACTCGTACTGACTAATGGAACCAGTCGGGGCCACTTGGGGCAGGCATTCACCCCTACTGCCCAAGTGTCTGGACGACAGAGCACAGTGACCTAAACCACACAGCAGTGCTACCTTATAGAGAATCGTCTGGGGTGAGGGTGTCCTGGACAGCTAGATTTTTTGGTCAATAGCAGAGCATCAAAACGTATTAAAATTCTGAAGTCACGGCGTTTCATTTCTTCTTACTTGTATACAGACGCAAACATTATATGTGAATTCTGTTTCCCACTTTTTCACTCATTTTAAACATTCCTTCATGTTGTTATAGAATTTGTAAGCACCGTTTTTAATGGCTGAATAAATATTTCACAGTGGATTATGAAAGAACTTACTTAATCGTCATCCTCTGTCCTGGGACATTGAGATTGTTTGCAATTTTACATTAGCGTAAGTACCACTGCAATAAACATCTTTGTGCATAAAGCTTGTTTTCTGTTTAATATTATTTACTTTGGCTGAGTTCCCAGAAGTGAAATACCTGGGCATAAATGTCATGAAACCTTACCTTTTTCAAACATTCATTTTCAGAGTAAAGCATTCATCCACCCCGATGCCACAGGATGGCCGGTCCAGTGAAAGTAACACAGTCTTTCATTAATGATGAAAATGGAGTCAGGCCTTGGCCATCGTCCTGTCTGTTGGTTATCACTCTCCAGGCCCACAGTGATGTGAGCCAAGCCCCACAAGGCCAAGCCAGCCTGGGGGGTCTGACCAAGGAATGAGGCCCCAACAACTTCAGCTCAGTACTCTCTGGTTCTAGCCTGATTTGTGACATTACTGAGGGCCCACCCCTAACCCTTCCAAACACTTCCATTCTGTCCACGGGACCCTCAGGTGCTGCTGCCCTGTGAACCCCAGGCCCTCTACAGTCCCAGAGCTGACATGCCCTTTCCAGACTCCTGGAAATGGGTCCCAGTCATAGCTTGTCTCTCCAAAGGGCAATGCCCACCACTCACTGGGGTCTCATGTGCTGAAGCGTGAGAGGGATACTCTAAACTCACTCATACGAAACACCTTGATTGGACTACATGCCAGGGTCCCCGGCCCAGATTGTTCCTACCACCTTTTCTAGACCCTTCCTCTAACACATGGACCTAGTTTATATCCCTGGAGGCCTGAGACACGTGTGGATGGCTTCTCTAGGTACTCAACTCAAAACTGTTCTCTCCTTCCATCCCCAAGCCTAACCCATGTCCCAGGCAAGCCTTTCTCTTCTTAAAGGTGACAAGGACACCCTCCTTGACCAAATGATAGTCAGGTTCCTCTGAGC